CTTCTATTTCTTTTATTTTTATAGTTTATTTTTATTTATTTTTCCTTTTGACTTGTTTTTATTGCATTATTGCTGGAAAATGATAAACATTCATAGTGATAATGATTAACAGATGTAATTTAGCCTTAATAAATTTTATAAAATTGGTTTGTAGATTGATGATTATTTTCATACATATTCAATTTATATATTGTCCAATATGAGATTATAAATGAATCTTCTCATATTCAAAATTAAATATCTTTAATATGAAATAAACTGATAAATAATTTGATGACGGAAATATGATAACAAATAATTTATTCTTAAACGAGATTCTTGATTTCATATGTTAAGAAATATAGCTTAGTTTAATTCACTCTTAAAATATTTATTTGTAAAGTGAAGATCAAATATTATTCAATGCAAAATTCTTAACTATTATCAACAATTGCTTTTATTCAATTAAAGATTTCAAATTAGTTTTTTTTTTAATGGAAAGCATATTCGTATTTGGTTAAAAATATAAATTAAGAAAGATATATATATATATATATATATATATATATATATATATATATATATATATATATATATATATATATATATATATATATATATATATATATATATATATATATATATATATATATATATATATATATATATATAGTGACATGAAGCAGTATCCCAGATATTGATTCCCCTTTTTTCACTATACACATTAACCATTGGGAGCATGCTGTTGTTTACGAGAGACAGCTATTATTCTAGAAAAGAAGGTTATTTGCCTAATTTGTCCCCTCAAGTTCATTACTTTTTTTTCAACTAGTGTCTAAAATTGAGTGTGTGAAGCATAAATTGTGTGTGTCTCAAATATATGTCTAAGGACCACAAAAACAACATCTAGTCCTATAAAAATGGTTGGGACACTTTTATCACTCATACAAAGAATGACCACATTATTTATTTTATTTTATTTTCCGAATATTAACTCAGTTGATAATTGTACAAGAAGTTAAAACAATTAGGCTTCAATCTCTCAGCGAATTAGCGAAAAAAAGACTAATTTTTTAACAATTAATACACTAATCACATATAAAAAAAAGTTTTTGTTAGTTGAATTAAATTTTGCAACATTACCATATTATTTCTATCATCTTAATTGTTGTTATATTAATTCATCTTTTCACACATAGCTTTTAATATTAGCCTTTTTTATAGTTCTATTTTTTTCTCACTAATTAGCCTTTTTGTGTGCTCCTCTTCACATATTTTCTCTATTGACATCTCTCTTTCAATTCCATCACATTACTAGCTATGTCTCTTATTTCTACTCTCTTTTTTTTCTTTCTTTATGGCTTTTCTTTTTCTCACAATGGCCCCCAATGACATGTGAGACAATCTTTATCTTCCTCTCTCTCTTCTTTGTTGGTCAGATACAACTCATAAGAGCAGGTACGTAGTATCCAGCAAAATATGTTATGATTCATTGCTAAGGTAGCCACCAGTTTAAGCTGCCAAGAACTTAAAAAATGGTCCACATAAAATTTATAAAAAAAAAATCCATATTTTAAGGTTATATATTTTATTTGAAAGAATAAGAAAAATTTATATGAGAGTCAAAAAAAAAAAAAATTATATGGTAAAAACCATAATGGGGATGGTTATAATTTTTTCTTGGTGTATTTAGAATTTTTTGTATTTGTTTATAATTGTTAGTATAATTTTCTAAAAGGAAAATATTTAACTATCGCATATGTTCTATACCATTTTAAAAAACAATAGTGAATATTCCTTAATATTCCCTTAACCATGTAGGGATCTCTTTTAACAATAAGAAATATTCACATAAATTCCCAAACACAAAAATGCCACTAAATAAATAAAGGGGGACAAAAAAAAAATTTACAATACAGATCTAAAGTTTATGTATAAATAATATAAATTATTTAGCCCCCACAATATTATTCATATCTTATTTGTTCAAAACATATACAAAATCATGGTGGCATCGTTATTTGGTTAAAAGTACTAAATGTAACTTTTATTAAAATCACATGTAAACATATTTACTTGCAAGCATAATAAACCAAACATGTAATAAATGCAAAAGTTTTTGACAATGACATTATATAAATAAAAACAAAAAAAAAAATAATTATTAACATAAAATACCTGAAGTTTGATGAATCATTGGGAATAGAAGGAACATTGGCATTGAGAAGAAGATATTCAACCTCACCCATGTCTCCATTAAGGCCTATATTCTTGCAACCATAACCAAAAGGTTTATCAAGTGCAACTAGTTTCTTTTGTTCCATTGGTTTTGCAAAGAAATCAAAACCTACTTCTTCCATTTTTGATATGATGTCATAAGGGACACCATGGTTAATCACATTGAAAAAACCATATTCTTCACAAGCTTTCACTATGAGTTTCATAACCATTGATCTTTCAGCTGATAGGTCTATCATTGGTAGGTCAATAGGTAAAATCTTTTCACCTATCATTGAATTTGGAGATGCCACCACAACCATTTTTTTTTCTTTAAGAAAATGAAGAGAGTTGAAGGGAAGAAAAAGTGTTGGAAGAAGGAAGAAAAAATGTGGTTTGAGATAGGTTATATAGTGTTGGAAAATTGTGGTTTATGTTATATAAAATAGAAAGTAGAGAAAGAGGGAGAGGAAAAGAGAGAATATGTGAAAGAAGATGCGTGGAAGTAACGTAGGAAATTGTAACCAAAATAAATGGGATATTTATGCCGAAACAAATAACATGAGAGAGAGGTGTACTCGTGAAGAAAAGAAATGAAATTAAAATATAAATATATTTGATTAATCACGAATAAAATATGGTTAATTCAATTGATCAAATAATTATTTTAATTCACATAAAAATATGATTAATTTATATTTTCGAATTAACCATAATTATTAAGTGTTAATTGAATTATTTATATGTAATTAATAGAAATGTAAAATAAATTATCCTTAATATTTTGTTGGTCACTTTTATCACTACAAGAAAATTAGTGTTTAACGACACAAAAATTGCGACAGTTATGTGATAACTGTCGTAATTGACATATAGAGACAGTGTTTACGACGGTAAAACAACCGTCGGCCCCCATTTAACACTTTTAACATTGATTTTTCACCAACAACTAGTCACGACGGTAAAATTAACCGTCCTAAAAGGCATATCACGACGGTAAAGCACCCGTCGCACCTTTAAACCTTTCACGACGGTAAAATTATCCGTCCTAAAATTCATTTCACGACGGTAAAACAACCGTCGCACCCAAAACCTTTAAAAATTCTCATGGGCACGACGGTAAAACACCCGTCGCCGTAAAAAAAGTTAAAAAGCTCTTATTCATTTCATTATTCTTGTTACACTTTTATTTTTACAGTGAACCCTTCATCTCTCTCCCGCGCAGCCTCTCACCCCCCAACCTTCAAACCCAGTTCTCCCTCAATCAAAACCCAACCACCAAAAACAAACAAAAAGCTAAAGATCTTACCCCTTTCGCGATTGCTTTATGACTTTCTGTCCGATTTGTTCTGATCTTCTTTCTCTCTTGCTTTGTAGATTCTGGCGAGTTCGAATGGAATAGCGGCGGCGAAGCTACGGTGATTAGCAATTAGGGTTTTAGATGTTTAAATCCTAATTGCTCTTTCTCTTTTCGTCTTCAACGACAACGCTGGTATCTCCTTCTTCGCGTTCTTCAAGTTCTCTGTTTTCTCTCCCTCTGTCTCTGTATTCTCGTCCGTTTTTTCGATTTTCTTCTTCATTGTAATCGACCCCTTTCTGTCTTCAGTCCCCCCTCTGTTAATTCTTCTTCTGTATTTATAGGCTTTAGATTTTATGGTTTTAGATCAATTTGCTGTTACAAATTGGATTAGCACAAATTAGAGATTTTAGAACCAATTAGGGATTTGATTCACTACTGTAATTGATTTTGATTTGTTGTAATATATGGATTTATGTAATAGAGATTGAATATGTGTTAACAGGTTTTGCTGAGTATTAATTTGTTGAGTTTAATTTGTTGAGTTTGACTAGAAAATATGTGTTAACAGGTTTTGCTCAAATGGTTTGTGGTTCTTGTAGACGTCTGCTTTCGTATCCATCAGGTGCCAAACATGTCAAATGTTCATGCTGTCAAACGGTCAACATTGTGTTTGAAGGCAAGTTTACTTTCTCTTTGCTTCTTTTTATCTTGAACGTGCATACATAACTGTGAATAATGGGAGAGAGTGAAACAACAATGAAAAAAATTGAGAAAGAAAGCTTTGAGATGAGTGAAAAACATGAAATTGATGATGATTCTAAGCTCATCTACAGAGGTTGGAAGGTCATGCCTTACATTATAGGTAACTAAACTAAGAAGTAGAAAAACATGTACTCTCTTACAAACAGTGTTTTTTAGTCTAATTATGGTTGAAAATTTTGATGTACAGGAAATGAAACATTTGAGAAATTGGGAGCCATTGGAACATTACTGAACCTGTTGGTGTATCTTACAACTGTATTCAACCTAAACAACGTCACAGCTACAAACATCATCAACATCTTCAATGGCAGTACCAACGTTGCTACCTTGCTTGGTGCTTTCGTCTCTGACACATATTTCGGCCGTTACAACACATTAGGATTCTGCATCATCACTTCCTTTCTGGTATTTATTCTTACAGTTAGCTTGATAAAAAAATATAATATTATTAATTTAATATACATCTGGAGACAAGTTTTTTAGATGCACTGACACCCTGCATGTCTGTACTGTCACTGAGAATTTAAGAAAATTTATGCAGCAAGTGACTTGCTGTTACGATTTACTGACATTCACACACTTTCCATTTCTTTTGCTTCCCATTGTTCAACAGAACAGAATTGTAATTAACACCGACACAAGAACTGTAGATGTTTATAGAGATAATATATGATGGAATTTGTTGTTGATTAGTTTGTTAAGATTTTTGAATCAGAGTTTGTTATAGAAAAGAAGAAGAAAGATGGGTAGCTCAGATTTCTCATGGAAATTACCGGATCATCCTAAGCTTCCAAAGGGAAAGACTATTGCTGTTGTTGTTTTGGATGGTTGGGGTGAGGCTAACCCTAATGAGTACAACTGTATCCATATCGCCGAAACACCCACCATGGATTCCCTTAAAAAGGTATAATAATGATAATAACTATGCATATACCTCTTCTGTTTTTCAATTTGTCTTTTGGATTGAACTTGTTTGGACTTTGGATTGAATCTGCTTAGATCTATTGCTGTTTTGGGTTTTCCTTGAAGATGAAAATTAATGGTGGTGGTTTTTTTTTTGTTATGTTGTAGGGTGCACCTGAACATTGGAGATTGGTTAGGGCTCATGGTAAAGCTGTAGGGCTTCCAACTGAGGATGACATGGGTAACAGTGAAGTTGGTCACAACGCACTCGGTGCTGGACGTATATTTGCTCAAGGGTAAATTGAAATAGCTTCTAATCTCAATCTATTTGGTTTGGTCTCGTTTTTCCATTTATTCATGTATGTCTTGGTAAGGAATTGGTCTTTGATGTTTCTTAAACTGTGTAGCTGGTATGGTGTTTCTTGATTTACCATATCAGAAAATGTGAACTAATTTTGTTGCTTGAAACATTTGGATTTGCTGTGCCTATTCTTTTATGTCATGGCATAGCAGTTCCTGCTATGTCTTGTTCTATGATCCACCTTTTTTCTTGAATTATCATAAATGGGATCAGTAGGTACAAATTTGCTCCCCTGCTCTGCCTAGTTTTGTTACCACTCATTGATATTTGTTAATTTACAGAATGAATGTAATAAGGCTAAAAGAGAGTTTCAAGAGCAAAATAATTATGTTGAAAGGCTTAGACAGAAGCTTGATAATGTCAGTAAATTTCCTATGAAAATAGCTCAAGAGTCAGGGGAAAAAATAGCCATTACTTCCAGTGTAATGTCAGCTGGTGAATCCAAAGTTCCTGCTGTGGAGGTATTTGTTTGTGTTTGTCAATTTCTTTACACCCCTTTCTTGGATTATCATTAGAATTTAAAAATTTACTAATAACTGAAACCATGCATACTTTAGTTCATATTTGCATGTTTCTAAAATCAATTTCTTATGTTTAAACTCTATTTAGGTATCCAAGACAATCAGTTTAAGCAGAAATCCAACCTTGACTAGTCAGGTAATTTGACAAATTAAAGAGGTTCAATTAGAGTGATTATGTTGTTGTGTATTAATTAAATATCTATTGCAGTGTTGTACAATTTGCTTAGGCAATGAGAAGGACATGGCCTTTGGTTGTGGGCACATGGTAAACTCCAAAAATCTTAAAACACATTTTTGTTACTTCATATATACATTCAATGATCATTAACAAGCGATTCAAATGCAGACTTGCAGAGAATGTGGAACGAAAATTCGCAAGTGTCACATATGTAGAAAGAAGATTACCAATCGTATCAGATTGTTTCCTGGATGATTGCCACTTTCTAAGAATGCCATTATATATGTGTAAGTTATGCCACTGGTGAGCCTTAATGTGATCAAACCTTGACAATTACTTATTACAATAATTTGTCAAGATAAAAAAGTTACACATACTACTACCATATATACCTTATGTGATCACACATATTCAAGTTTAATGTATCAATGTATGTAAATATGATTGTAAATTATGTTTGGGTGCAGTTGTCGTATGAAAATTTATGTATAACTTATCATAATTTTTTTTGTTGCTGAAAAGAGAAATGCAGTCTTAACCAAGAACTGCTTTATTTCAGGCTAGTGCAAGTGCGACAGTGACACTCATAAATTCATCGTTAAAAAACCAACAGTTCAGTAGAAAAGCATAAATCCTATAAAGAGTTTGTATTCCAAAGAGAACACTTGACCTTTTCTATGAAAAATTGACATAACCATGAGCACTCGATTTCCATCTAACTGTTCTTACTCCCTTTAAGAACAAGATTGCTTAAATAAATGTACTCAGGGATAAAACGAGATTAAAAATGAAAAGAAGAAAACAGCACCGTTCATTGTGAACTTAAAGAACATATATTGACAATATCCAGAGATCAGCAAGTTAATCAATTTTTCTGGTCCTTGGCAGTTTGGTCTGGAATAGGTTGAATTCTGACATAAGGTTTTCTTGTAAGTGTTTCTCCTCTTAGAGCGGCAACATAGCGATCATTGGTATTCTCCTTTCGCTGCAGCTCTCCAAGGTATTCTGCCAGTCTCTCTTTATTCACTTGCCCCATCATCTGAAATGTAATAATTTTTGCTAGGTCTCCCTATCTTTAACTACTTGTCCACCATTTGATCTCATGAAAAATATCTCATCTAGGAATATGTTGATGTTGTGCAAACATTTTGCCTGTATAAGCTGCCAAATATTCTAGTTTGGAAGTAATGTAGTTGGAATGGGTGGGTTTTATACATGAAGTATTAGTGAAGTTTTATGTGTATGCGCGTGTTTGTTGCCTTGTGTATTGCTATGTCAAATGCTTTGTGATGGATCGATAATATCGTTAGTCATGAACTTAGGTTTTTTCTTTCACCCGGTGCATTAGACTAGGAAGGAACAAAAGTGCATATATGATTAGTTGATGTATCATAATTGCATAATGCTTGTTCTGTTTTGATGAAATGATTCAGACCTTTTCAGCGTCCTTCTGGTGGAAAATTTCCGAGAGTAAACCAAATGAAAAGGAAATGCATGTTTTATTGTTGTAGTATCAGATATCAAATTAAACTCATGAGATGCTTTGTGTTTCTTGTAACATCTAACTATGAGATCAGTTGTTGGTTAGGATTGTTCTGTTGATCTTCCAATGCTTTTATTTTTCTGCAGGTTTCTTGCAGAAACTGGTTTAGTCTCTGTTGAACATCAAATGCGAGAGATGGGCTTGGACGTTAAGGCTCCTGTAGAGACTGACAAAAAGGCCGAATAACTACGATCTTCTTGTGTTTCATGATCTCTGATAAATGACCGAATTAGAGTACATGGTTAACATAGAACAGTAGGCTCGATTTATATTTTCAAGTTGTAGCAAACCAATGTAAATATTGTAAATATTGTAACATTTTTTGTAATTCTCTCAAGTTGTAGCAAACCAATGTAAATATTAAAATGAAATTTGGCCTTTGATGATATTTGAATTTTTCTTGTTTATTGGTAAAATTTGCACTTCTTTTTACCTTTGATCACATTTTTTTGATATTATTGATGATTATTTGATATTAAATGTTTTTATTGTAATTAACTTTATTATGTTGAAAAGTGATAGAAAATAAAATAAAAATACTATAAATAAAAAAATATTAAAGTAAATAATAATTTAAATATAATAGTAAAATATTATAGTAAAATAATATTATATTTAAAATTATTTTACTAAATAATAATTTAAATAAAAATATTATTTGAAATTTATAAATCAGATTACGACGGTTAAAACCGCCGCAATTTCTAACCTACGGCGGTAGAATAACCGTCGCAAACAACAACAAAAACAAAAAATAAAGTCAAATTCACGACGGTATATAACCGTCGCTATCTGTTGTGCGTGACAGTTTTTGCAACCGTCGCGAAATAGGCTGGGGACGCACGATTCTGCGACGGTACTTCTACCGTCGTAGATTGTAAATTGCGACGGTTTTAACCGTCGTAATCAGCCAAAATAACCGTCCCAATCTATCATTTTTCTTGTAGTGTATGAAACTATGTGCTTACAGATTTAATGAGTAAATGGTTAAAGCTCATAGCCTTGATACCATCTCGATTTTGAGGTTAAGAACACCTTAACATGATTTTAATAACAATAATGCATAAAGACAAGAAAGTGTTAAAGTTAGATCAAACGGTTAAAGATGTACAAGAAAGTTTTATTAAATTATTCTTTTGAATAAAGTTGAAAATTTTGGGTTGAAGCTTTAGAATGTGAAAGATAAGAATTTTATAAAAACACAAGAGCTTTTTCATAAAATAATATAATTAAATCTTACATACACTTAAAACATTTTTAAAACTTCTTTTAATTTACAAAACACCTAAAAATATTTTTAAACCTTGCCAGTTTATTATGAATTGTCACCTTCATTAGAAGAAAAATTTTAAACTACCTAATTGATTAGTTCATAAAGCTAGTCGATTAGATGAAGCAAAATTGATTATGTATATGTTTTAATGATTGATAACAACTATCTATCAAAATCTTTTAAATTGGGCTCATACAATATATTTATGGTGACCTAATCAATTAGACTTATGACCTAATCGATTAGGTGAGTTAATTTGTCCATGAATTATTTCTTTTTTAGAACTATCATTTGGCCTATAAATATAGGTTTTCCCCTTCATTTCTTTTCATCCAGAAAACATGAGATATCTCAAATTCTTCTCTCTCAATCTCTCTAAAATATTTTCAATTCTCTCACATATTTTTAGTCATAATCCTTTGAGAAAAGCTCTTGTGTTCAGTAAGGAATAATTGTTCAGAGAAGGTATGTTTGTAAATTCACCAGGAGTTATTTTTCCTTTTGAGTGAATTATCCGTCCTTTAAAAGTGTTTGTTTGGATTTGTAGCTAAACTTGTTAAAATCTATTTTAAGGGGATTAATATTAGTCTCTGTTTTGTTCGTGAGTTCCACCACTTCAGTAAAATATCTTCTTTTGGGTTTGTGAAGAATGACTTGAGAAAAATATTCACATCGATTCTTGAGCTCAAACCGGTATAAAAGCTCGGTTAGATCGAGATCATCCCGGTATAAAATTTTAGTTTGGTTTGTGGTCAGGCCGATATAAAACCTTCATTCGGTTTAAAGGATAGTCAGTTCAAAACTCCACACTGGTTCAATATAATTATGTATAAAATATTTGTTTAGCTTAGAGACTAATCGCTCGAATCTCTATTTGTTATTTGGTGTGAAGACTAACCGCTTCATTCAATTATTCGCTATTTGGTTCGATGTAAACTTGAAAATATCTCAAGCATTATCAGATACTCTCAAAATAAATTTTGGGGGAGAGGACAAAGTCACTTTTTTTAGACCGAACCTCTATAAGTCTCTGGTGTTATATTTCTTCCCTTAACTTTTTACTTTACGCTTATTTTAATTTACCTCTATTTTCTGCTGCATATCAAAAAAAAAATTAGAAAATATTTTTAAACTCTGATTTAGAAAATAATTTTATTTCAAATCAATATTTTTCAAACCCCCCACATTTCATCCTCGCTCTTGTGTGAGGCACCATATGTTCAACAAGTGACATTAGAGTCGAACTGATCATGTTCAAAGACTAATCGTCTCAGAAGGAGGATGATTTCTAACACTATTTTTAACAAGAAGTCTTTCTTAAACACACCATCGCTTAGTGGTGATAGGTTTGAACTATGGAAAGCTATATTTAAAATCTTCATTCAAAGTTTTTCATTTTGAACTGTGGGAAACTATCATTAGTGTTTGTCTATCTCTACTCACCATTTAAATAAAGAGGTAGTAGATAAATCATATTTTCTTTGGGCCATAGAAGAAAAGAGAAATTTTGAACTTGATTTAAAAACAAATAATTTCTTAGTCATGTCTTTAGATGATAATCTAATTTTCTATGTTCATAATTGTAAACTCGTCAAGGAAATGTGGGACACTCTAGAAATGATATATGGAGTTTTTCCAAGTGTACACACGAGGCGGAGAAGATGAATGTTTTGTTCATAAATGCTTCACAAAATTTAGAAATGGAAATAATGTTAGAACTTTCATTGTTGAGAAACATCTAAGAATTAAGAATTGGAAATCAGATCCAATCCTTAAATCGAGAGATGGGAGTGTTTTTGAATTTTAGGAAAAATCCAAAAATGAGGAAATCATCGAAAAGATTAATGAATTAATTCAACAAATAAAGGATGAAGGAATGAGCTCAAGTATAGAAGAATATTTACCAACTTCATCAACAAAATCATGTGAAGATAAATAAACTCCAGTATTCTCCTTCGAAAGAACAGTCTTAGAGAGGGAATGATCCTTAAAGGATTCAACATCGAATAAAGGAACTTCTTCTAGGAGAGGATGTATAGAAGAAGCTTCGTCTAGTGGAATCTTCAAGATAATAAAGGAGAATAAATCCTCTACAAATAAAAATGATTTAAACTCAAGGAGGAACCTCAAAGAGTCAACCTCAGATAGAACCTTCAAAGAATCTTCATCCAACAAGAAAGATGAAATTTGTTTGAAAGTATCTCACAAAGAAGATGACCATGAGGTAACAAAGTTATCATACAAGGAGATATTTTTTAAGTGATAAGTTAATTGATGAAAAAGATAAGATTGATAAGCGTAACTTAAACCTTATGTATTATCTTGAGTTTCTAGATTAGATTAATAAAACACTTAAGCGTGAATGATGAAATAGCTAATACTAGAAAACTAGCTAGAACATGTGAGACTTGTGTCTTGATGAAAAAGAAAGTAAAAAATTTGCATGAAACTCTGAGTAAATTTACTAAGAGGGAATAAAACCTTGTCTTGATTCTATCAAGTCAAAGGCCTTCCTTAAATAAAGTTGGATTAGGGTTTAAGTTTGGTAAAATACGTAGTAAATAATTAAATAGGAAGGAAGTGAATTGACTTGTTTATAAATATTCTCACTACAATAGATTTGAGAGTTTATAGTCGTTTTTTTTATAAATTGAAAATCTCTAAGGGTAGTAACCTTAAACCTGATAGAACTACTAATGGACCAGAACCCAAGAAAATTTGGGTACCAAAGGTGAAAACCTAGTATGTTTTGCGGGAATGCTTTGCAGATTTAGTGAAACCTTAGGGCATATTAAATAAAGTGATGTAAAGAAAATTGGACACCTTAGAGTATACATCAATATCCATTTTGAATTGAAGTTTGGGGATCCAAAGATGCTCGTTGATGGTGTATATCAATGATTGTGATCAAAGGAAATGTTCGTTGAGGATGGTTTCAACATCTCTGATTTGTGATGATCTTCTGGCCTCTTAATAGGCTGAAACAATGAGTCTATAATGGACATATTTATATCGTGTTTTAACCAATTATCATATCCAACAGTCTATAGATAAGGATGTGTGATATTATGTTGTTGCACCTTTGAAAGGGCCAGTTTATATCAAGATTACTTGGTAATCAAGGTAGTACACTATTTAAAAATGGAATAATCAGAAAACTCTTTACTAATCAAGGTATTAACCCTTTAAGTAAGTGCTTTTAATATTTGATCATCTGTTTAAAATTATTTTTACTAATAAAGTATATTAGTCTTCTAGTTTTTGTCAATAAAGGGGTGTTAACAAATTCATTTATTTGTTGAGTCCTTGGACATGAGAAGTTATGAGCAATCCCATTTTCGGTGCAAAAGTTTTCAAATTGGTGGTTAACAAATTCACCACCATGATCATTGTAACTCCCGTTAATTTAATTAATTATTTAATTTATTTATTTTTGGATTATTTGTTGAAAAGTTGTGAGATGTTGAGAATTGTTGGTATAAGTTGTTAGATTATTATTAATTAATTAATTAGTTGATTAATAATAATAATGTTGGATTTAATGGAATAATGGTGTTGGGCTTATTATTGGTTGGAAGTAGTAAAGTGGGGGTGTATATGTTAGGCCCAATAGGATTTGTGATATAAGGTTAAGCTGACACAAGGGTTTGGTTTTTTGAGAACAAGGAGTCTTGAGCGTGACCGGAAGACCTGCGCGGAGAGAGAAGCAAGTTGCCCGGTGTCGAGTAGAGCAAAACAAGGTTGTCGGCTGGAATTTTGGTAGAGAGATCTTCAATCCAGGTAAGGGTGGGGTTCTGACCTTATAATGGGATTTATGATGTGTATTATGTGGGAATTGATTGTTTGTATGACTGTGTGCATTGATGTTTCTGGATTTTTTTATCAAAGTTTCCTGTTTCTCTATGTTGTGGTC